TCAACTTAAGTTGTTGTTTAAAATACTTTTTTTTGGAGTTTTCAGGCACTTGTCACACAATTAGGTCAGGTGTAAGTGCCGAAGATTAGAGGTGTACTAGAGACTAACATACAAAGAAAAGGAGGAGAGAATAGGACGATAGTTGTTTGATAAGAAAGAAGGAGCAAACCTCACTAGAGCACCACCCACACGTCAACTTCAGGCCGGCTGTTGATTTGTGAGAGCGCAAACACGCACAAACAAAGATAAAATCCACTTAGTGGAACCAATTACAAGCGCTGTTCGAAAGATGATAGATAAGGGTCTCCGAAAGGAAGTGGTCCTCTTCCCATACTATTGTCAAAGTAAAAAAGAGTCTGAAATGCATTAGTTTTAGTAAGTAAGTGTTTTACGGCACTTGCAAGACAATAAGATCATATATAAGTGCCGAAGATTAGATGTGTTACAAGAGAGCAACAAACACAAAAAGGAGGGGAGGTAAAGACGATAGATGTTTGATAGGAAAGAAGAAGCAAACCACACCAGAGCACCCGCCAACCACCCACTGAAATGCATCTGACCATCCTGATGTACATATATTACACATAGACATAATATATATTTTATTATATATATATTATGTGTCTGTGTGCGTGTGCACATTTGTAATACATGTACACACATGAGCGCACGTGCACACACGCTGATCTATAACTTGAAACATCGTACTTTCCTCCCAGGGGCCTCGAGAGGGCAAACTTCAAGGACACCACGAACTCCCCTACAGAACTTTGGGCTGGGGGTACACAACTATCATTCTCAGTGTGCCCACATTTTTGCTTCCCCTCCAAAAGAAAAAAGTGCATTCCATCGGCTCCGAGTCCCACTCAGTTGCCAGAGTACTTCCCCCATGTACATGTACGTGGACATGTGACAAGAAAACTCGGGCTCTTTTTAAAAAAATGAATGAAGGTGCTTTTATGCCCACATCGACACAATTGAGATCATTTAGGAGGCGGGCTTCTGTAAGGACCAACCCCGCTAAGTAAGAGGGATACAACATCATACAACATCAAAGAAGAAAGACCTACATGTATATGTTCGATAAATTTTTTAATATTTGCCCCTCTCAGAAATCTAATTATTGTCTCCTGCATGCTACAGTGAAGTACCTAACAGTAGCTACTACACCACAGACGCCGGTCCCCAGGCACGATGTTTCCCACATGTGTGCTTGAAGAGCACATCACTTACTATAGTATCCGAAAGCAGCACGACTCCACTCACCAAGTCTAATTAGAGCAAGAACATAACAAAAGATTTCCGAAAGAGCATTGGGAGTTGTCCCCACCCCCCACCCCCAGTGGTGTAAATTCCTCTACTCAGGTGTGGTCAATATAAAGATATGGCCCATACGCGACAGGCCATGGCTCATTTTAAGTTTTCACTCTTCAGCCGTTGCCAGGTGATAAAGATGCTGTACTGTGAACATGACGTACAGGAAGGAAATAATTCAACACTAAAATCTTACTTCTGTTGGAAATCCATCAAAGTGCAAAAACCCTGTTTAGTTTTAGTAGGGGTTTTACGGCACTTGCAACACAATAAGGTCATATAAGTGCTGAAGAATAGAGGTACAACAAGCAAGTAACAAACACAAAAAAGAAGGAGGAGAGATCAGGACGATAGATGTTTGATAGGAAAGGAGCAAACCCCACCAGAGCACCCGCTAACCACCCACTGCAAAAACTCTCTGCATGTGAGACAAGAATTTTGCTTGTATATTTGCAAATAAATATATATATATATATATATAACCCACATTACATGACAAAAGAGAAAAAAACAAACAAACACCCAAACACTGTATAATCAGATCAGAGTATCATTTTATATTGGCTTACCATACACTCACCAACAATAGAAAAATAAATCACACATCACTTATACCATACCCATTAGTCTGATATGAGAAACTGAGAAAAGCAAGCAGTCTTTAACTATCAAGTACAAGTACATAATGAAACCGATAAACGGATGTGAGTGAGGTCAGCGTCATAAAAGCTACACAATGAGGGAACGAGTTGTTATCTTCTACTACAGAATCTCCCTGACCAAAACAAAGTATTGGGTACAAATCATACAAAAAGTCTACAGTGTGAAACACACACCATGAGTTGTGTTTATTTATGGAATAAGGAAAGGGTACTCACCTATGTGTATATAAATGTACATGCATATATGGAAAATAGATCAGTCACAGGAACTGACACCTCTAATGATATCACCCACTCCCAGTGAAAAGGTTGATGCGGATGTATTATGAAAGCATATACCGGTACTTATTAATTTAGTTCAGAGACATTATGGTGCAAGCCCAGCGAACTTGAGTCACAAAGGACATGTTACCCTGGTCGTCAGTGTTTCTTCGACACTTTCAACTAAACTGCATAAAGTGTATGAGCTACACCTTGAACAATACGAACATACCAGCATTCCTTGCATTAACTACACGCAAGTTTACAAGCTTGACTGAGAGAAACAAAAAACAAAAAATCATCACATATTTAATAAGCTGGGGGACAGGGGAAACAATTAAACAATTATTTTAATGACAATGCTGCGAGCAATTCCGTCTAGTTCTACATTTACAAAATAAAATTATACTCCAATTTCCCCTTTCTTAAATTTTGTTTTGTCTTTACTTTAAATTAAAAATTATACATGTACATGAATTTTATACAAAACAATTTTCACAAAAGCAAACACACTTGAACATAAAATGAATGAATTTCTGGTTTCAGAGAATAGAGAACAAAATTCCAGCCATCAGCTCATATGGTTTTTAAAACAAAATTCAATCAAATTCCCTGAACAGTGTGCAGTATCTGAATATCTTGTAGTATTTATATTAGTTGCATTAGACTTAACATGGTTCTGAATACTCTGAACACTATCATTATATTATATTTCAAAAGTGCCTCTGCCAAGAACAGGTAACCAAACCATTTCAGAAAGCAGAGGTCCAGTATCTAAACCCAGCAAACTTAATCAGTAATCACATAATGGCCAATTTTAGATTCCAAGACTCTCAATCTGAAAAGATTTTCGCGTGCAGAAAAGAATGAAAAATCCAAATCATAGAAATCATTTGTCCATTTTTGCAAAGTCAGTATCCCATATAAAAAATACATGCAATTCATGTAATATCTCCATCTACATGAGTCACAAAACAGCCTCATAACACACTTTCAGCCTATAAAAAACTCACTACACATTCCACCAAGCATGCAGCCTTAATCCAGCAGTTCCAACTGCTGTTCTACATTGTGCAATACAACCCGGGTGCTCATAAACCACATCAGTGCCAAACATCAAGAGGCAAACACACATAAACCAAGCACAGAAAACCTCAAAATGTACATGATCACTAGATATTCCATAGACATCTGCCTTGCCTGTAAGTCATTCCTCAGCTATGCAAGCACTTACACCTAAAGGGGGACTCACTTGAAAAGGGGACAAACTCAAAGAGTGGGGGACAAGGAACTGGAATAAGGAAGCCCACCAGAATGTTGGAAGCCCAGCTGAGGTAACTTCATCAAAGAAAAGCACACTCACCGTCTCTAAAAATAGTCACCCACAAATCTCAGTCGTTAAAATTAACATCAATATCAGACAATAAACGTCATTCACACAGTAACCAAGGGGCCAGCACAATACTGACAGAAATATATACACATTTCTTATTGTTGGTGTAAGCGTAGAGCTGGCCAAAAAAAACCCCCCATACTATCATGCTACATTTGCCAACAAAACAAATAAAAAGGCCTGCACCCCCAACCTCCCTCTAAAAAAAAACAAAAACATGTAATTTCTGTACATCAAAGGTACTTAAGTAAATATGGTTGCGTATATAAAGAGTAAGAAAGGAAAAGGTTTTAGGTATGGGAAAAGACATTGAAAAGGGAGAGAGAGTGAGAGAGACAGAGAGAGAGAGAGAGAGAGAGAGAGAGAGAGAGAGAGAGAGAGAGAGAGACAGACAGAGAGACAGACAGAGAGACAGAGACAGAGAAAGAAACACTGAGACAGTGTGTGTGCGTGTGTTTGTGTGTGTGCCAAAAGGGGTAATCAGTGACCAGGCAACAGGAAACAGGTAGGACAATGTTGACGCTATCTCTCAGCACACTCACCCAGACACAATACAGATAATCATGAGATCAGATAAGATCCCTCTGACACAACTCCGTAACTGTCATGGATACACTCACTTCTCACTCAGACATTGGCCCAGACTCAGCACACAGTCAGAGACTACGAGGGGAAAAACTATTTCTATTTACTGCGGGCTAATACTTTGTAAAGAGACAAAATGCAAAAGAAGGAGAAAACCAAGTTCTGACAAGACATTTTGTCACTACTTGAGAAAAGGAATTTAGGCTACTGGGGCAACTACTCCCAATGCTCTACAAAAAAACTTCATTAACAAGAATGCCAAATGATTTTTGACCCCCCCCCCCCCCCACTCTCTCTCTCTCTCTCTGAAAATGAGCTGAGCATCACATCTCACCTAAAATGAACCTTGTAAAGCTTTTAAATGAGCAAACAAAAACATTTCTTACCTCACCACTTTCCTTTGCAAGTGTATGAAAAAAATCCGGAAAAATCCGGAGAAACTGGAGATTTGGCATCCCTGTATTAAGTACATTGTGTCCCTTGCTATTGTCCAGCGGTGAACGTGTGCTGCTCCACAGAAGATATATTCTTTAAAACTTTTCTACATCGGATGGAGCACAACGGATGCAGTGACAGTATCTGATATGCTGGATACATCACAAAGAAACAAGGGAGCCTACATCTTCAGGGACTGGGCATGGCACTGCTGCATAACTTATTTACACACCTAGTCTTTTTCACAACCACAACCTATAGCAGACCTCTATGAGAAGTGTAATCTGAACATATGCAAGCACATGTGTATTCTGAATATGGAAGTGCATGTAACTGAAAAGTAAAATATCTTTTTTTTTTCTGAGATCCTGAAAAAGTAAAATACTGGCATCAGCCTCAGATCTAAGCTAGACTAAAATGATTCCATGACAACAAATACATTTGTAAATAATTGTGAATCAAAACGTTTTCTATTCCTGTTGTGCAATGTATGCAAGAAAGGCTGGAAAAGGGAGGCAACTAAATTAATTCACTGTCCATGCAAGTCTCTAAGAGCTCTTCAGAGTTACTGTTACTTTTCCTGAGCTTTGTCTCAGATTTGTCATTGTCACTACAAAAGTAAAAAAAAGTCTCTTGATATGTTGAGATAGATTTCTAAACTCACTGCTGCACAGCTGGCTCTATATTTCCAAAGCTTGTCTAGAATCACCATCTAACAGACAGTGCAGTCTTGTTGCATAATAGCATAATAAAGAAATATATAACTCTGACATCTTAGCTCTACTGAATGCCTGACTTATCGGTCAGGGAAACTTCAAGATGAATCCAACTGAAACAGGCAACTTTTAAAAAAACCCCAAAAAGATGGGGGGGGGGGGGGGGGGGGGGGGGAGAAAAAAAAAAAAAAGAAGAAATTTCAAACATTTCATATATACAAAGTAAAAGCAGCTAGGAAATTCCAAGACACTACAAAACCCATCTCTCAGTCCAAACTCAGCCCCCCTCATATAACATAAGCAAAACATGTGGAAACAGCAGGCCTTCAAACATTGAAACAGGCAAAGGATATATGCGCAGAGAACAATACTGATTTGTGTGGTTATAGATCTCAAGCTATGCACAAGCAAAATGAATTCATGCATCAGAGTAGACATAATCAATCAGGGTGCGTCAGAAAACTTGAGCAAGAATATTCTAGCAAGCAAACAGGAGGACTTCCAACCGTTTCTCTTATTCACATTAAGTAAAGGTTACAGACACAAGGGTGTGACGAGGGATTTTTAACACACATTTACTACCACTGTTATAGTCTGTCAGAACACAAAATTTCAAAACTTAAGAATTTGTGCAATTCAAAACCTACGAATTTGTGAAATTAGAAACACTATTCAGAAAAAATCTTTTATGAGCTTTCTATGGGACTTAAATAAACCAAGGTTAAATGACTGCAGAATGTGATTAATATCTCTTATGGTAGTTAGCAATAGAAAACTGCAATACCAGTATCTATTTTAAGTATTTCATCTGCAAACAATCTGATAGTAGATATAGCTATATGTGTGTTAACTAAAAAAAATACCCATAAATCAAATAAAGGGAAAGTTGTGAAGGAAATTAAAAAACAGTAAAAAGAAAACCCTGGAATGTTTTTGCAATGGTACAAAATCATACAAAAGGCTTGTGGGGTTTTTCCTCTAAGACATCCTCATTCTTAGAGTGACACAGACACAAGCAAGCAAAATACAGTAGTCTCTGCCTACCAATACTACCATCCCACATTTAGGGTTCCGATTCGCTTAACTCTTAGAGTTTTTACCACCGTTACCCATTATAATCCCAAAAGCTTGATTCCAACTTCTAAACGGTGGAGACAAAGGCTTAGTCATTACTAATAAACCTGGTTCGGGAATAGTCCCGAAAAAACAAGCAAAAACGAGCACTAAACAAAACGAAACAGTTGTCACTACTATTGGACGCTCCCAGTGTCCAACGGGGTTTAAAGAGTAAAGATCCTCCTGTTCTTAGAGAACAGAATTTTTACTACACAAAAATCATCCCTAAGATACCGGTCTGAAAGGCTATATTTGGCCGAGATCCTGCATTTTAGATAAATATTTACTGAACCTATTCCCACGCACATGCAGCTAATCAATGAAGCAGCGAAAATTTGACATTGTTGTGCTGCCCGTTGCTTCACTTTCTTTAATGCAATCACATCTCTGTAGTAATCTCCATGAATTGGTACACTGGTGAGGAACTCAGAGAAGGAAAACTATGAATTCTGGACAGGTGAAAGGGCGGAGTAATGAGATTGACTTAGATCAGGACACTCAATGTTGAATTAGAGAAAATGGCATGCCTCAACAAATAAGAAGGAACCATTGCGATTAATCATCAAGGTTAACCACCCTTTGCTTGCCATGTTATAAGCCCACCCCGTGGTCATTTCAGTAAATGTCATTTCAAAGTAAAGGGCGGTCATTTCACCAATTGTAGGCCTGACCATGAATCACCGTGGATTCTTCCACCTGATGATTCGCTCAAGATCCTGTTCGCCTAAGACCATACATTTTTTTTCTCTAAAGCGCAGGGATCGTAGGCGGAGACTACTGTATCAATCAATTTTCACACTCACTTCCTGATCAAAACTTTTCCAAAAGCGGGGAGAGTTTGTGCACGTGAAAACAGCCGAAAAACATGAAAGTAATAACCAATGTGATTGAATAGCAGTAATGCTGATAGCGTTCTTGCAGGGTGGGGGTTGGGAGCATTGGGACACTGGATATGTCTTCAATCTTGCTTCATTTCGACTACATAATGAAAATCCTTGAACTTTTCCTGTCCTATACTTTATAACTCTCTAGCAGTGGAGAAAATCAACGGCATGGAACAACACTATCATGTTGAGGGTGTAGAAGGTGTGTTCTTTACTGTGCCATATAGACCAATATGTTTAGAGGTCTATGTATCTTAAATGAACATTATTGAATTTTTAAAACCTCAATGAAGTGACAAATCGAAACATTTCCACAGATAAAAATCTTGTTCAAGTGCAGTATGTACAGATCAATTCTGTACGTCAAATTTTTCTCTCTTTGAACAGAAAAATATGCATATATACTGGGTAAAGGAAGTAAACCGAGACAAACTTTCGAAAAATCCTGATAAGATAAATATTTACACGATGAAAACAAAAGAAAAAAAGGAGAAATGAAAAGTAAATTATCACATCCTCTTGAATAATAAAAATTTCTTTGTGTCTTGCACAGATCTTCTTCCATAGAGTAAATAAAGGAACTGTTGCAGAAATGCTGCTCAAAAAGCAAAGGGAAAAGACAAGACAGCATAAACAACACTAGAGAGGCAAAACCCATCGCCTGATGGCGATAGTAGGGAACAGCGAACACTTTCACGAAAATTGTATCATGGGCTCAGGAAAAATCTCATAAAAAAGTAACTGCATAGACACTTAAAAACAAGCACATCACAATACATAAAGTATGTGACTAAAACTGGCACCCAAGCTCATCTCCAGGTTGAACAATATATTCTTGACTACAAAAGGCAACAGTACTTGGAACATAGAAGGATATCCATAACATTGACAAAACTAAAGCCAACAAATCTTTCACCACTTCAAATGTTCTTGATCAAGGAAGTACACCCAAATATGAGATTCCTGGTGACACTAATAAGTTGAGGCAAACATTGGTCTTTGGCATATCAGCACACAGAACAGCGTTTTAAGGCTGCTTCTTGCCAGACACATTCAATTTAAAAAAGAAGCTACTCAAATGAGCCAACTTTTCTCAAACTTCTGCTGTGAACAATTTGAATGAATGAATTCCATGAGAGAATTGATCTGAGCACAAAACTAAGGAATGCTTAAATACCATTGTACACATTTTTCAAAATAATAGGGAGTACGGCTTAAACTGAGACTGTGAGGACATGTATGAAACCTTCAAATTTTGTTCGTCTTTTTCTGAAAGATAACAGACTACATCTACTTTTTCTACTTTAGACGTTCAAATAATCTTATTGACTTAATGAAAAATCAAATGTTGATGACACAATTATGTTGTAGGTTCACAGTATTAATATTACAAACGTGCAAAAAATTACCAGTCATTTCAACTCCACATTTGATATTTTAATTCAATAAGTGCAAAAAATGTATTCACTCAGTATTTTATCATTCATGCAAAATCAGAGAACGAAAGAGTTAAAAAGAAATGGTGTGCAAATCGAAAGAGTAAGAAGCAAACAATCTCATTAGGTTCATTTGAAAGAAAGAGACAATTTATCCTTCAGTGCACAACTCAAGAAAATCAAGTCACAAAAAATGTTATGCCCCCATCAACGTAGCGAAACAAAATCTGACCAGTGATCAATTACATGTTAAAGTTCTGTCAGCTGTGAAGGAGGGGGTCTACCACACAGGCGACAACAAGAACTGTGTCAGTGTATGTACAAATCGAAAGATCTTGGACTTGACAAGGCTGGTCGATCACGGGGGGATAATTGACTTCCTAGTCGTTGCTCGTGTCTTCACTCGTGACCGTGGTACTGTCCCATATGTGTTGATCTGCTTCGTCTGGGGATAGAAACGTACACAGCTATCTTACTGCTTCATGGGATGAAAAATATGAAAAAATAAGGCAACAATATCTCAAATAAAGCATCTAAGGAATACAACTTTCAGGGGTAAATAAAGCATTTTGCTGAAGCAATTCAAGTTTTCTGCAACTTTATATACAATGTGTAAGCTATTATACTGACTGCACAATTATAGCAATCGGTTACAGTGTGAAGTTCATAACCTCTTAACAATTAAAAAAAAATTGAATTAAATTTATTTAGTAATGGTGTCAAATAGAATTTCAGGCAAAGCACTCCAGTGTTACAATAATTTAATCTTATTCTATTCCACATAAATAAAACAACTGTGAGCCATCACATGGCCACTACTATGAACTACAGGATTCACTCGGGGGATGATTATAAGGGTAGAAACAACCAAACCTTTTACAAGAGGAGATCTATTCTTGGGGAAACAAAGGCACCACACTAAAGTTTGAAAAAGAAATATCCTGACTTTCAATAACAGAAGACCTGAAACTCGTATGTGTATAGAAAAGGTTATCATGTGTACCACACTTTCTTATGCAACAACGACAACCAAGTAAATGAGTTTTTAAGTGAATAATGAAAAAAAAAAAAAGAGAAAAAAAAACGGAGACAAAATCTGCAAAAAATCCCTGGCCTTAGAACCAAGCAAAAAAAGTTTCATTTGGGTTTGAAAACTGAAACATAAAATTGATTAGCTATAACCAAAAGGGTTTAGATATTGATTTGAACAGTTGATATTTAAACCATACCTTTTTGTTGCGAGACTGAAATTCAACATAAAAGTTTTAATTTCATAATCTTCAGTAATATTATTCTCTTTACAAAGAATCAGCTATCATTACACATTTGAAAAACGTTTTGATGTTGACCGTTACAGAACTTGTATTTTCTTCTTTATTTATCTGAGTTTGTCTTACCGAGGAACAGTCTTATATGGTAAATAAGAAGCATCAGAAGGAATCTCATATACTCTGAACACTAGACCTATCTATAAATTTTTTTATAAAAAGCCAGACCAAACACACCAACAGTTTCTATTTGTGGGTTCAATAGCTATGCAGAAACACATGGTAAATGACTGACAACATGCTTCGGTGACAAGATAGCAAAATGCATGAACGGAACTACGAAAAACTGTGGACAAGTTACAGTTGTTGATAGCAATGAACAAAAAAAATAGAAGGGAAAAAAACCCCTCTAATCTGTTACATGTTTCCAGCAGTTTGTCTGGACGATCGACTCATGGCTGGACACTACCATCAACATCACCCAGTCGGGGAAAGATAAGCATTTACTAGGGGTGCCACTTAGATCCAGTAAGACTTTCAGAAATTATAGCTGAAACTGAAAGGAAAGTTGATCATTTATAAGCTTTCACTTTTGACACAACAATTCTGGAAAACTGAAATTGTCAAAAATCCCAAAAGTTTCCAGCAGAATGGCACCCCTACAGCATTGTGTCAAGTTGACTCATGAGTTATTACACCAGCTGGTACTGGTATTGACATCCACGCTGCACAACTGTGTCAACCAATTAGAACAGTTTTATCCAAGTCACAAAACACGTTATCTACGAAGCTGTTGTTAAGACAGGCAATGGGCCCAACTAGCATTCCTTTCTTGTAACACTACAAGGTTGGGGAGGTGGGGTGAGAGGCAAGAGCAGGAGGCAAAGACAGATCATCCACAGCTCAGCCCAGGCAATGCAGCCTTGTGTTACCTTCTTGTGGGACCATGAAAAGCTGCCCTCTCAGACACTCAGTGTAATCTCTGGCCATAGCAACTAACCACTCATGCTTAGTCACTTTACATGACAAGCAGAGCATGAGTGGTAATTTCATTTCTCTAACATCTTCAAGAAATGGGAAAAAATTAAGACTGGACTGAAAATGCCAAATGAGCTACTGGTTTTCCTAATTTCACTAACACGCAATTGATTATTTACATGAATCTTTTGTTTCACTATAATCTAATATTTTTTACTTCTTCTGTGATAGGAAGATGGATTGGAAATGGAATAACTTCTGAAAAGTGATGGTTGACCGTGGGAAAATGGCCGGTGGTAGCCCAGACTGCTGGTAGAGTAAGCCCTGGGACGTTCCACATTCAACTGAGAGTGAGAGGCGCTTCCAGCACTTGGCCCTGCTCTGTACAGCCCTGGGCTCCCTGTCTGACCAAAGCTCTGGGAGCGAGGTAACTGCCGGCCCTGCAGACGTCTCAGGGTGGTGGCTGAAGCTGCTGTGACCGCACTCGGGCCGGACCTCTGTGGCTGAGGCTGCCAGGAGTGGAACGGGTCATAGTTTTCTCTTCGTGTGGGCGAAGGAGATGAACTTGATCTTCTTGAGTACATCTGAGGACTTTCTGATCGAGACATTGTTGTCCGGTGGCCGTAGAGAGGTTGGGGGGATGTGGGCGGTGGGAAGCTCAGCTCTTTCCTCAGCGTGGCCATCATGATAGCAAAGCTGCGTTCATCCGTACCTCTCTGTCGGGTAGCTGGACTGGACGGGCTGCTCCAGCTGTGGCTGTCCCAGGAGCTGTAGGGGCTGACTGGGGATGCTCGTGGAGACACTCCAGGACTGTTTGGAGCACTGCGCGACTCGCCTGCTTCATACACATGGCGGGGGATGGCTGAACCTGCCACAATAAACTCGTCAAGAGGTGGGCTGCAGTCACGAGTGGTGTTGACCTCAGGGTCAGAAGCTATTCCTGGCGTGCTGGCTCGGCTGCTGGGTGAGCTACCCCACAAGGCAGCAATCTCTGCAGAGCTGGGAGAGTCCACTGTGTCAACTTCTTCCTGAGGCTCCGGGGTGCTTCGATCACTGACCTCTGACAGGGTGTCCCATGTACTTTCACTCCACTCGGAGCACGAGTCTTCATCTCGGTTGTCTCCACCATCAGAACTAGCATCCATGTAGTTTTCTCTCCTACACTCTGACAATGACAAAGAACTATTATCCTTCATACTTGTTGTCACATGTGCGTCTTCACTTCCCTTTTCACTGCTTCCAAACTCTTTCCGAAATAAATTCTCCTGATCAGCCTTTGTGAGTTCCACAGGTTCTTTGTCTTCACACTCCACATTCTGAGTGATGTGTGCTCCACTCGAATTCTTATCAAGAAGGCTTTTTGAAGATTCAAGCCTAACATTATCAATGTTTGAGTCCTCAAAGTCAATAACAATCAAGTTAGACAACGCTTCCGGTTCACTGCCCTCCTCAGCCTCTTCAGCAATGGCTGTCTCTGTAGTCCCACGGCTTGGTAAATGTAAGATGGAATCATCCTCAATGGCCGGGAGATGGGGCTCAAACCATGGTATGTAAACATCCGGTTGATGACTGTCTAACTCTTTCGACTCCAGAGAGGGATGGTTCGGCCTAGTCCCTGCTCCTTCCCTCTCCACAGAACTCCTCTGTTCCTCTGAAAATGACTTGAGCAGGGGAGCCACTTTCCCTCGTGTGACAGAAACAGCTGTCCCTCCCCGGCCTGCCTGTATAGTTCTCCTTCTTCTTGGCATGAGGACTGTGGTGTCAGAAAGCGACCTCGACAAGACTCTCCGTTTAGGATCCACTGGTTTTTTAACCTCGCTAGATAGTCTCTCACTTGCATTAACCTTTTCCTTACCACTTTGAAATTTGGCAAAAAAACTACGCTTAGCATCTAAGTTTGAAGAAGCAATAACTAATGGCCTTGGAGTAACATTAGAAGAAGGGGGTAGAGATTGGCATCGCTGACTGCGATTTAGCACTGGACTCTCCTGCGTTAAAGGAGAAAAAATTTACATAAAAACATATCAGAAAGCTGCTTTTATTTGCAATGGGTTATTGGTTGTGAAGAAAAAGTCAAATAATGGTATGTAGAAATAAAAACCCTCACCAGAATAAAAAAATATTAAGCGTCTTTAAGGACAAGCATGTATGTACGGCATATTGTTTCCACGCTAGCAGTAGATAAATACATTGTTTGTTATGCATGTGCTGAGACACGAAAAACTGTGGGAACCAAATTTTAGAAAAGAATAGAATTTTTCACGCAACGCCCGCGTGAAAAAAAAAAGCCACAGCAACTGTCAACCAGAAATGTTGGTGAAAGGATCTTACAACTAGTCTCCCATCAAAATGCCAGCGCTAGAGGTTGATTTGCTGGAGGGAGCACCTTGACTTTTGTTTCCTTTTCTCTTGTAAACAGACAGAGTCAAGCTTTTCGTTACTACTGGAATCTATGCCAGAAAGGTCCTTTGGCTTATGTCTCATCAAAAAACAACATTAACCGCTCCATGTAAAATAATTTGCAAGCCATTTGAACACACACTCGTAGATTTTTGCATTTCCATTAAATGTCAATAAAAATCATGAAATACTGAAGTAAATGTTCATGAACCATTTACATCGTATACTACATATAATTAGACATAGGACCCATTAATTACTACTTCAAGTTACAAGGGTAACTGTTACAACAATATAAAAAGAAGAGAGAAAACAAATTATTAAAGGGGGTGGAAACCTGACATCAGGGTGAACAGATAACTATTAGAACTCAACCTCAAGGACAGTGATCCATTGCAAAAACAAATTCTAAAATTTTCCCTACAAACCTGTAGGAAATATGTACATGGAAGAAAAGTTTTACACAATATTTATCCTGGGCAAAAATGTCCATATATTGAAAAATATATGATTGTAAAGCTACCTGTGCACAGCTGCTAAGTGATGTGCGGATGATGATGAATATAGAACCCAAAGATGCAATCTTCTGTAAGCCTACCAACTACCAGTGATGAGAAAACTGAGTGGTCCAGAAAAAGGACGCTCTACAGCTAGGTGTGAGAAACCAGTGATTACAAAGAGAAAGTAGAGATCCCAAGTCATCTTTGAAAAAGATGCTTTCTAAGGCCAAAAAAAGAATCTCACTACTGAAATGAATGATAATAATATCCCTCTAGACCAAAAGCCATTTCTTTTTTAACTTTAAGTTCTTGAGCATGCCTTTCACAATATTTCCCTTGGATTATAGGCCTACCCGTTTTTCCATGAGAAAAAAAGTGAGAACAGACAGACAGTGTAAAATATGTTAAGAGATCCCGAGTTTTCAGAGGAGTGGCTTAAATCGACAACCAACCTCTCTCATAGAGTAGTGTCGCCGTGTGCTGGAAGGGATGGTGAAGGTCTCCGTGATCACACTTTCATCATCCTCACCCTCTTCTTCCTTCACACTAGTCAGAATCAAACCTGGAATGTAGAGGTGAATGTGAAATACACAGAGATATAGAGACTGATGGATGGATAGGCGGACATATAGACTGATAAAAACAACGTAGACAATGACAGAGACAGATAGCAAGAAATAAAAAGACATAAAGAGACAGAGAGATACCCAGACTTATAGAGACTGATAGATGGATAGGCAAATATATAAACTAATAAAAAAACAAAACAACACAGTGCAAGAGACAGATAGCAAGAGAGAGAAAGACATACAGATACAGTGAGATACACTGACATACAGGGTGATCAAAAAAAAACTACAATTTTTTTGGTGAATATCTCGCGCAAAAATTGTTCTAGAATGCTATAATTTGGAACACAATATTCATTCAAAAGGAATTTGTTTGATATAAACTCCACGAAGAAGAAACATGTTTTGAAAACTGAAACGGTTAAAAAAAATGCACCCAAAAAACGCAAAGTTCACCAATTTTAAAAATCTTGTAAAGGAAGTCGTGAAAAGATTAGTTGACCTTTTTCTTTATTTCCTCTTTGACATTAATTTTCCATCCCTGTGACATTTAAACAATATTTAATTCCTTTTACGGAGTTTTAAAAACCTAATGATTTCATTCTGAAATTCCTAGAAGCAGTGCTCCACATTCCCTCCTTTAGACTCGACACATTTTTAACGCATCGTTTGAAATATTCATTGGCGCCCTAACACAAGGACCTGCTAAACCATTAGTTTTTAAGCCACAAACACAGTACATGTTCACTAAGAAGTGGCTTCTAGAGACAAAAGTGTGGGGTGCCAAATATACAGCATTTTTGGAGTTAACATATCCTGCAGGGTGAAAATGGGCTTTGCACTTAACCAGATGTCATTGAGGAAATGATCCCATTTTACAAGAAAATTGAAGAATCATGAACACATTGCTATGCTTTGATCCATGTAATCTCGGCCTAGTGAATATGAACATGGTATAGTCGTAGGTTAAGATCTGCCATGAGAATGCAGACTGTTGATGTGTAGGAAAGTCCTAGCTGCAGATTGTTTACTGACAGACGTCTCATGGGACTCGGCTACCGAAATCTGCACTCTGGTGACGCTTAAAGGGCTGCGCATGGTGCGTGTTTGACCTGAAGTGGTCATTTTTTAAAAAACTTTTTAGTTCTGATTCGCTATAGATCCAAACTGACGGAACTACTCTACTTATGACGCCAAAGGTCTTGAGGGCACCTAAGCATTCTCTCCATGCCGAGTGCAGAACTTATGAAATGTCAGGGATGGTGAGTTCATGGAGAGGTAGTGTTCAATACAAAAAGCTCTCTGCTCTTAACTAAACGTAGCCATGATCTCAGCAGGCAAACAAAATTCGGGAAAAATAATATCTGCAGACTTCTGCTGTAGCTTGCAATATGACGCGATTGTTGCAACTTTTAGAGGTAGGCCTGATGCGAACAGGTGCGCCAAGCTATGAAAATGGCGACAAGGTTGAAAATGGGTAGTTTTTTTAATGTGCTATAAAGAGCAAAACCATTTAATGGACTAATCTAAAATACATATCAGACAAATTCCTTTTGGCTTCCAAACGTTATGTTCAAATCTGAAACGCAAAACTTCAGTATGGAGGAAGATATTTACAAAACAATTTGTTAAGTTTTTTTTTGATCACCCTGTATATATATATATATAATACTTAGACTGACAGATGGATAGATGGACATATAGACTCATAAAAAGTGGGTGGTTGGTGGGTACTCTCATGTGGTTTGCTCCTTCTTTCCTATCAAACATGTATCGTCTTTATCTCCCCTCCTTCTTCTTTGTGTTCGTTACTCCCTTGTAACACCTCTAATCCTCGACACTTATATGACCTTATTGTGTTGCAAGTGCCGAAAAATTCTTACAAAAAAAAAAAGACTGATAAAAAAATCAAAAGTAGAATGTGACAAACAAAATAGCAAGAGAGAGAAAGTCAGACAGAAATAGTGACTGTGAGGTACACAAAATCAAAGTACAGGAGATAGATGGAGATCTGGGAAAATATTTGAAGTTGACCAGACCCCCTCCTTTTCCTCTTTAAATATTACCTCCTGCAGAACTCTTGCTCTTTCCTACGCTGGCTTTCTGGCGTCTGTCTAATTCTGCGTTGTCTTCTATAAGTCTGTTGTCTGAAAGTACAATGGGTCTTTTTTTTCTTTCAAAGTTTTTAAGCTTGATTAAAGCAGGTATACATATATAGTGTACAGTAGTAGACAAACCATCTTGAATAGAAAAATGTCAAACTGAAAAATAAGTACATAACACAAAGTCAAAAATAATATTTTCCATTTCAATCAAATTTTATTAACTTAAAGGCACAGCACTAAGCACTGCCTATCTTTAAAGCAAGTAAAATGATGCTACAGTCATTATTTGTCTTTAATCCCAAGATCTATCACTGCATAGGACAGCTTAACACAACCTAGTTTTTCGAGGTTAACATCGAGATCAGGAGACAGATGATTCACCCCTCTTATCACAATTTGGCAGTCTGGTCTTTACATGGGGTCTTTCGTTTCTGAGCTCATTATCTGCACTTATTAACAACACTCACACAAATGCTCACGTCTTGATCAAGAGAGACTTTACTCAAATTCATGCAAGATCTTTATGATAAAACATTGTGAAACTACAGAAAAAGTTAGATATACATGATAAACTGTAGAAACCTTTCTCCCATACTACTCAGAAACGACCACAACTCTTCTGCCAGTATTCTTTGTTAATTTTGCAATAACATTTTTTGGGGGTACATTTCCCCTCATAAGTCCAACCAACAGTATAGAACACAATAATATCTCTTATGTCACATGACTGCCGCCCCACAGTGCGTGAGCCAGGACTTACCCAGCTCGTCCTCCCCGGCCCCGTCAGCCTCATCCCCTAGAGCCCGGTGTCGTTGTGCCAGGCCCGTCCCATCATCAGACAGGTCGCTGGTGCTGTAGCTGCGCCGCAGGTGATCCACCAGCTTAGACTGGCCCTGGTGCACACAACGAGGACATGTGGGTAACTCAAGCATCTCTTTTACTTTTGTTCGTTTCTTTTTCTACCTGGATTACATTCTACTGTTTGTACAAATTTGAACATTTTACCAAATACCAACACACGGTTTCAAATATTAAATACTCTGCTCTGAGGTAAGAGTACAAAAAGGAACAGCATAAATATTGCTGCTGATCCCACTTCTGAGCTTTTTCCCTTTTTTTTTTTAGTTTAAGAAATAACCTCTTCAGTTCGAAATTACTAAAATTTCATGGCGATATATCTTATCATAGCTAATACTGGGAATTTATATTCCATTTGTAAAACCTCTCCACAAAAAAACCCCCTAATGCAACATGTGCAAATAAAGTTTCACATATGCTTCATGAACAACTCCCCGATCAACATGTGGTTAATAATATCACCTTTCAGCCATTGAAAGCAGACCACAGACCTAATTGCAATATTTCATTGGCTAGTAATTTTAATCAAGTATTGACAGCCACTACACAAAGGGCAGAGGTAATTCCCGGTCACAACATCAGGTCTGCTTTGTACAGCGCTGACAACAGCTCTGAAAAGAAAAAACCTTCAGCCTAATCTCTGCCTGTATCAACTAATATCAGTCCCTAATCACAGTGCAGTGATTTGATTGGATATGGGAAAACTGAAATCTTATCAGTAGAGGGCAGTGTTCATGTTTCAAATTTTATCATTGGAGTAAACGCCGACAGGCTGAGACAGATAACCAATTTCTCTGTTAACGGCTAATCCATCTCTCCGACTTCAGCTGTGGATATAACATCCCATTTAGAGGTTTACAAATATGAAAACCCACTCTCAATTAATAGGTAAATAATCATTAAAATAAGGAAAAACCCTGTTGAACAACCGAACATACTCCTACAACTGGAGAACAAATGTTATACTAAACACACCTCCATACTTAACATCAAGCTTACCCAGTCCAAAAGATCAGTTTAAGTTAAAAATACATGTGATATTAATTTAAGTATGTCCCAGACGGCCCATACAAAATGGTGAAAAATTAGAATGTTTTAAGTGTGTCGACGCTTTATGTGTCTAGCAACATTTGTGCAATTCTGACCAATGTGCTTCCAGATTGGTTTCAGATTAAAACATGGATAGACTGGACTGAGACCTTTGAAAACCAGACTTAAAAATTATTTTTGCAATGTAGGCAAACAAAACAAAAAAGATAAAACAGCTACCAGAACTTGAAAACAAAGCAGAACCTTTGAACAATTGATTATCTAAATTACATTTATGCTTTATAAGGAGCCTGCAATATGCACTTGTTGCTGCTTGGTTTTATTTTATATGGGGTAGAAACCCACCAAGATATCAACAGGTCATCTTAAAGGTGGCTATTGTAAACAGAATGGAGAAAAGAGAAATAAAACTACACATCTCTAGTTAGTTTACCTTTTCCTGACAGCCTGTTTTTAACATATGAATCATAAACCAACTAGAGATAGGAACCAAAAACAAGAGGAACCTCTGACCTACAGTTAGGACAGACTTACCATGATGGCTGTGCGCATGACCACTTGAGAGGCATAGCTGAGGCCTTTGGTGCCCAGAGAGAGCAGGGTGGAGTAGCCTTGGCGGCTTGCCTGCTCTATCATTTCATCTATGTCCTGAAAAGGAGACATCAAGATTGGTACACAAAATACACCAAGAAATAGCATAAAGAATGTACTGATTTCAGTAGGCTGGCACTGCAATTACTGGAATAAATCTTGTTTGTACATGCTGGGAAAAGTAAGTCACAAAGTTGACATATAAACCAACTGTGTTTCTGCCCGGAGGTGGTTCAGCAATAATGCAAGGCTACAATGAAAATCATTCCAATACACAGTAAACAAGCAAAAAGAGAACAAAAAAAAGCTTTAGAGACAAATACGTCATTGCTTGGAACTCCCCTCCCCTATCCTCACTTTAAGAATGCCAAGTCATTACGCTAAATAAGCATGGGTACTCACCAATACTTTCTACATTCTACATCCTTTTTACTACTATATCTAATCAAAAACAGATATCTTTCATGGGTGACCATGTGCAGAAATAAAGCCAAAAACTGATTTTTTAATGAATTTTACACCCCATATTCATAAACGAGAAGAACAATTTACGCCACACTGACACCTACCTTTTCTCTGCGTGCCAATTGAGGATGAACAAACTTTTTGAAGAGGAAACTGGAACCTTTAGTCATAGGAGACAGCATCCATAGTACAAAGATGATCTTCAGCTCATAATAAAATGGTAGCCTGGAAAATGAAGCATTATAATATATGAATTAATTCATCCCAGTGGAATTAAGTTGTTGAGTGGAATATGTTGTGCCGTTATGACGAGCCAGCCCAATTTTGATCACATTTCCCCTCCCAAAATGTTTGACATTCGCAATAGTTGGTAGTGACAGAATCAGACCCAGACAGAGCTGGCTCACCACCCAAACCCAATCTTCAAAAGATCAAAATCAACCCAACTATGGTCTACTAAAGGAGACAGCAAGACGACAAAGAAATAAGAGATGGAAAAAATTAGCAAAGCTCATCAAATGTGCCCAAGAGTGACTGGTCAAAGATGGTTACACAGTGTTAAGACGATTAGCTTTGAAGATTAAAAATTTTTTAAGTCACAATAGAAGGAATCAATAACTACATTTTATATTGATAATGAAAATTATTACCAAGGTTACTAGTCACACACTTCTCACTGTTTTGAAATTTTGATAGCATAGAAGTAGGGCAACAAACACTAACAATGTCATCACTTAAAAGCGGCCCCCATGTGATATTCTGACAACCTTTATTAAACGTTGAGGATTCTGATGATGACTTTCCCCCTAAATCTGGTGACAATGCGAGGAATTGGGAACGAGGGTTTTGTCCTGCCACTCAGGACAACCTGGGGGATCAAGTGTGTGCATCAAACCAAGGAATAAACTTAATGTTATGTCAAAATTGACCGGCACATCATTCCCAACATTTTAGCATCATCGTTGTCATAATCATAACCATTATCATATCATCATCCTCATCAAGAACCAAACAAGTTTCCTTTTACCCGTTTAATTTTAAAAAAAACATACATAACAAAAATGAAAAAACGAAATCAATCAGTATCTTTTATTTTCATTTTCCCCTCGCAAACATTTTTATCTGGAGAGTTGAAAACATACAAACTTCTCCAGCATTCCCGAATATTTGTACATTTAAGCCACATTTTCGTTTATAACTCACCATGAAAGAAAGACATCAGAGAATGTTTCTATGGAGCAGAACAATGCAAAGACTATCCAGTACATCATCCATTTTACCTGAAAGAACACAAGAAAAAAAATCATGAACTTCATCTTCAACTTGAAGCAGAATAAAAAGTGCACAAACAATCCCAACATACGATGTTTTGGGACACATTTAACACAGACAAGAGAAATAAAGGAGGGGAACTCATCTTCGGCACACACCAAACGTTTCCCCCAGTTGCCCCCCTTGGATCAAACCGTACTTCACGAGAGTGTACATAAACAACCATTGGCCATCCCTGTATCGAACAGTCAACAACGGAGGTTTATCGTCTACCCACCGCCCCTACACGAACAAGCTACGGACATCATGGTACAGTTTCACCTATCTGTCTATGTGTCGTGGGTGAGTAAAAGGGGGCAAACTTGGTGAGAATTCACAAGCTGTGTCACTGAACTGTTACCCACTCTATAATTATTATTTTTAGCACGTTGAAAGACTTTCCCCGCCACATGTATCTCATCGAACACACGTTGTAAACAGCATACAAAAAAAAAAGAGGATCAAATTAAAAAATTGTCGTAAAAAGCGTTATTCAAGCTTCAAGTTGTGAGGATCGTAGACATTACACAAAATAAAGTACGTAATGACACCATTTCGAGTCACGATTATTATCTTTCTCGGAGCTTGTCTTCAAACTATGGTTTCTTCTTTTCGATCCAAAATCACCCCCAAGAACATCCCTGTGTAGGCATTCTTTATGTTATGTTAGACTGGCGTTCCTACGGTCTTGCTAAAACAATATGTCTTCCTTTCTTTTCCTGGATACCGTCAAATGGTTCTGTCATCGTGATAAACATCAAAGACAAGTACCCCTTGACCCAGTGACCAGAAACTTTTCGTCACTTGGTGCGAGTTTATAGATTAATCCCTTAGATGTGCGTGATCCTGTGGCCCAGACAACACGTGGGGGCGACAGAGAGTAAGGGCGGGTAATGTGAAAAACCCAACATTCTTCGGCAATTACTGGACCAACTTTCGGATACAGTTAAGTCGCTCGGACGTCAGCACGCACAGATCGACGATTTACTTCCATCGTCTAGTTAGCGGCGGGGGTAAACTCAACTGGCTCGACTGGTATTTACCAGAGGACAATTACGGGAGCGCATCAAGCCCATCAGACCGGAGTCAGGAGAGCTCACACAATGATTGAGCTAATTTGCGAACAGCAGAAAGTCCTCGCCTCCTCCCTAAGATATTCTACAAAACTCGTACAGTGCACGTTCTTTTCTATACACTCTTCGATCACCGGGAGGTCGGTGGCCGGATCCAAGCTCTCTTTCTTGATAATTTGGATTATGTAAATGGAAGCTAGACTTCACTAAAATGAATAAAGGGTAAAAACAACCGGTAAAGAACTAAAAGCGTAAATGTGGCTTGTTAAAGAGAAATTTTAATTTACTTTAAAAAATAAATCAGCAAGACACAAAGCGCGATAGAGGAGTAACCTGGATATTGCAAGGTAAGTACACCTTGATAATGATTGCGGTGGTGAAATGTTTTTAAAAAAATCTTGAGTAAAAGTTTTACGGCACTTGCAACAATAAAAACATAAAAGTGTCGAAGATTAGAGGTGTTACAAGAGGAGAGTACCAAACACACAAAAAAGGTGAGGAAATAAGTACGATAGACGTCGTTTGACAGGAAAGAAGGAGCAAACCACACCACAGCACCTGAAAACCACCTATGGTGAATCAATGCATTACTATCCCGAATCTTCCCTCCAGAAAAACAACAACAAACAACCAAACAAGGAAACCCCCCCCCTCCCCAAAAATATTATGTGTACAACACAAAACGTTTCCCGACGTCTATAGCTGTGTATACACGTATATGTTCTTCACTATAATGCAAGCCGTCATCGACGAGAATTCCGCTCTGTTCTCTCACACCTGCCTTCATGCACGGATATTATGAATTCTTTATGGCCCAGTGCGCTGAGACAAATGGTGTGTTTGTGGAGCTGGAAAGTAACCCGATGACGGAGCGACTGTTGGGGCCGTCGTAATATCTGTAATCCAGTAGGTTCTGCGAGCAGGTGGTGTAACTGGGCGTGAATTACTGCTGCTTGATTACAGTACATGTCTGTAGCCTACTGCACAGTCGTTACAGGCCCCGATGTCCTTTACAAAGAACAGTTAACTGGGCCTTTATCAATCATCTCATAGGTTCTTTTTGTTTGTTTTAGTAGAGGTTTTACGGCGCTCGCAACTGCATAAGGTCATATGAGCGCCAGAAGATTAGAGGTGTTACAAGAGAGTAAAAAACAAAAAAATGAAGGAGGGGGGATACGGACGATAGATGTTTGATGGGGAAGAAGGAGCAAACCACACCAGAGCATCCGCCAACCACCCACATAGGTTATTTGAATAAGAAATACAATCTCTACACTGTTTACATACATTGTGTGTTTCAAACACTGACGCCCGTATGGGTATATAAGTCGTTTGGAAGGCAGGTCCAGGCTGCACGGTTTCTACTGCATCCTCTTGGGTCGACATACAGCTAGGAATGAAAGAGGACTAGACAGGAGACAAAAGTGTTTATTATACATATAGGCCTGCATTGAAACTATCAGGTCCCTTCTTCGCAAAATACATCGTATCACACGAGTGACATACCACGGGGAGGGTGGACGGGGGCGGGGAGAATGCACCCTCGATTGGCATAACTATTTTTATATCTTCTGGTCCGCTTGGGATCCCAATACCACGAATCGACATAGGTAAACAAAGAGCACTCTGAACTCGTAATTGAATCTATATATATTATAGAGCCCACAAATGAAGCAACACAAGCTGGGTGAGTAGACAGAGGCTGGCCAAGAAATGAACAGCACCTATATTAACACAAGTGTACATAGATTGAGATCCCATACAAACCAACTATATGCAACAAATTACTGTGTAACTAAACAAAAAAAAGAACAACCACCAAGCAACCTCTTTGACATTGGTCAGTTATCTATGCTACGAGTAGCCAGTATGACAATGTGTAGTGTGAGTGTGCGTGCGTGCGTGTGCGTGTATGTGTGTGTGTGTGTGTGTGGTGCAGTGTGTGTGTGTGTGTGTGTGTGTGGTGCAGTGTGTGTGTGTGTGTGTGTGCGTGTGTGTGGTGTAGTGTGAGTGTGCATGTGTGTGTGTGTCCGTGAGCACGCAATAAGCGAGAATAATATACGTAACGAGAAAAGCAAATGAAGCTTTCACATATTTCGTGTCGACAAGGAAAGTCCTTTTTAACGCCCATTGCTGGGAGCTGTTAACATCGACGGTCCTTGTGAAAAAAAACCCCGGTGTACTGTTACAGACAGGGCAACGCCCAACATTTACCGTGTGCACTGAAGCTTAGGCCTAATACACTGTGGTGAAACCGGATCAGCACAACATAAGCATACCGTTCAAAGAACTGATTTTGATATACAGTTCAACCTGCCCTAACGTCCACTAGCCCAAAACAATCACATGCACAAATGACCATACCCCCCCCCCCCCAACACACACACCCCTATTGCCTTTTTTTCTACATCATAATGGCACTATCCAAAACGTCCACCTGAAACGAACACACAGCTGTCAACTATACAAAATTAAAAACAAAACAAAACAAAACAAAAAACCTATACCCAGGCGGCGGCTCGAGAGAGTGGGCACTGGCTTAGTAACCCCCTCCAAACTCTTCACAAAACACTTTCCTGCATTCAACAAATGGAAACTACACTGCATTTAAAGCAGACCTGCAGCAAAACATCTCTTCAATAGACTGGTGGGCTTTTTCTCATTATTATTCGCAAATCCGATCTTCAAAGTTCATAATAAATCCTCTTCAACATCGACAAACCCACAATAACAACACTAAAACTGAGACCTTCAAACGCGTATTGAATACGTTTTTTATTTGTCTTTATTTTTATTTTTATTTTCAGTAAAGTTTTGCGGCACTTGCAACACAATTAAGATCACACATAAGTCCCGAAGGATAGGATTTAAAAAGAGAGTAACAAACCTAAAAAGAAGGAGAGATAAAGGATGACAAATGTCTCAAAGGAAAGAATGAGCAAACTACATAAGAGTACGCCAACTATCCAATGATTTTTCTTGTTTGTTGTTGAGCTTAGTTTTGTGTTGGTTGTTTGTTTGTTGTTTTCTTTTTTTTTTTTGCTTTCTTTTTAGGGGGGGTTCTCGGCAGCTGGGCAACCACTTTTCTCCTCATCAATGGACGGTGGTCTTCGGCGACTTCCAATGTACTTTCAGTTGTGAAAGTTAAGGCCACAGTACCGTAGCCATCTACCCAATGTGGCACATTAAGTTTCATAAACGTATAAGAGACGCCGTGCTCTAAAAACGTTCACAACTGGTACACCAAAGCCAAAACAAAAGGCAGAACAGCATTAAGGCCTAATTGATGGGCGCTCCTCCCTTAAACAAAGCCAGCCCCCGGGGCTCTGACTACTTCATGTGACAGGTGATGAAACAAGAGGGCTCCCCCCCCCCCTCCTGTGATATGAATAATTCACCGATGTCACTTTCATGCCTCATGCCCCGTGCGCGTTTCGAGGTGTGCGCCGTGTGCTGTATCTTGGGCGTGTAACTAGCCTATGAATGTGTTCTAGCCAGCAGGCAGACGAGGGTGTGTGTTTCAGACAGAAAAAGAAAAGATACACACGCACGCAGGCACACTCACATACACGAAGATTCGAAAAACTAACAGACGGGAGGAACAACTTTAAGGGAGAAGACGACAAGAATACCAACCCACCATGGAATAACGATTTTACACTGTTCACACGCACGCACGCACATACACACGCACGTACATACACACACACGCGCGCGCGCACACACACAACACACAAAAATCACACACACACACAAACGCGCGCACAGAATCGTATAAGTATTCGTTTTTGTAGTTGCATCCCTTTTCACAAGGGTTTTCATTGAGATCTTTCTTTCAAACTTGAGTCTACTGCTTGCTAGCGTTGTGTGTCAGATGGCCTCTGCGCTGCGGGAGA